CAGCCCAAATCGGGACGAGAAGTCGAACTCTCAGCAATGTTCACAAACGGAAAACATTTTCGGTTTGAGTCGATTGAAACGTTTCCTTTCCATTTGGACCCTTTTTAACCTTTCTTGAGTATAAATTAAGTTCAACGTCGAACCGCCCAACCGCAAATTTTTGTTCCGAGAGCAGCAAAATGGGAGATTTGGAAACGTTTCCCCAAGGTTTTTTTCATGTCGGGAAATTGGTGGAAACGGGCCCCTTCCCGACAGGTTCGGTTTTGGTGAATCAACGTTTTTTAGCAAAAAAATCGTTTAGTGGTGAAATTCCCGGCCGGCTCAATATAAAAATGCACCTTGTTTTTGCAGTGAGACGGCCAGAGGCCCAGGGCAGCTGGTCTGATTTTACCCAAGAGTAACTGACCGCAGCATCTGAGCCAGCAATGTGTAGTGTCGACCCCACGATTGGGGCGCTGATTTACATTGATGACTTTTTAAATAGGGAGTTGAATGTAAATAGAAATGCGACCATGGGGTTTATTTTAAATAGCAACAAAAACATTTGTGGTTGTTATGGAAACAGTTGCACTCCCCTCCACCCCCCGCCCCTAGTCATTTTGGGAACCTAAACGTAACAGCACAAGACCCAGGAAGAGAAATTGTCTAATGGGGCTGGATTCTGAATTCCCTTGCACCCTTGGGTGCCAGAGATGGGAAGCCAAAGGACCACTGTCTTCCTACTTCTGAGAACCTGAACTCAGCAGGGGCACAATGGAGGAGGGGAGCAGGTCCCCCACAGCCAGGTGGCCCCCCAGCAAAACCTCTTCGCTTGGCCACATAGGGGTGGCTGGGCCAAATTTATGTAGCATTGTGACCTCATGCGCCAGGTCGCAACGCCATTCACTCAGATTTGGCCTGGTCCTGCCTCCACCATAACAAAGGGGCGGCCGAAGCAAACTTGTCCCCCCCTCCCCACTTTTTCAGTCCTTCCAACACTGACACCCCCCCCCAAAAAAAACAGAAAAAGAACCACACGCAGGACAAAAAGCCAGTCTCTGCCCCACCCGGGCTAAGGAGTGTTTTGAGGGGGTTTAGAAGGGGGTCGTTTTGTGGATGTTGACAGGGAGCTTCCCCCATCGGGGTGAGGAGCAGCAGGGGAGGAAGCACAAAGGGGCTCATTTGCCCATGCATCACATGGGCGACAGAAGCTGGGATCATGGGTCGACATCTCGATGGCGCAGGAGAGATGCTAGGGAGGGAGGGGCCGGGCCGGGAAGGGCCCTGAAAGTGAAGGCAAGTAGCCGACGTTTGATGCGATGGAGAAGAGGGAGCCAGTGGAGGGATGCAGAGAGGGGCCAAGCGACGGGCCAGGAAAACCATCTTTGCAACAGCCTCGTGAATGTCTCTGAGCGAGGCCAGACGGCATCTGTCCGGGCCAGAGAGGAGAAGGTGGCAGCAATTGAGATGCAAGCTAAGAGCCTGCCTGGTCTGGTCCTTGTTGGGGCAGGCACTGTCTCTTGCTCTGTTCACGCAGTGCTCAGCGCGATGGGTGTCTAGGTGCCACCATCCAACAACAACCAGCGGTTGTCTGCAGTGCCAGTCCCGGGATCTGAGAGAGACGAGGTTGGTGAGGTGATCTCTTCGTTTGGATCCAGCTTCTGCTGGTGAAAGAGACAAAACTTTCGTCTTCTTCAACCTGAACGCCTCTCTCTCTCACCAGCAGATGTTGGTTCAAGAAAGCCTAGGTTCTCAACCTTTTTCTCTCTGAGGCCCCCCCAAGATACTATTAAAAACTCCACTGCCCATCTCTGCCACGACAACTGTACTTAAATGCCAGGGCCAGCGTTAGGAGGTAGGAAGCAGGGCAACTGCCCAGTGCCCCACGCCACAGGGGCCCCCGCAAAGCTAAGTTGCTCAGGCTTCAGCTTCAGGCCTGGGTGGCAGGGCTCAGGGCCCCGGGCTTCAGCCCCAGGCAGTGGGGCTTCAGCTTTCTGCCCTGGGCTCCAGCGAGTCTAATGCTGGCCCTGCTTGGCAGCCCCCTTGAAACCTACTCCCGGCCCCCCAAGGGGCCCCGCACCCCTGGTTGAGAACCACTGCAATGAAGGATATTACCTCCCCCACCTTGTCTCTCTCAACACTCACTAGAGGGAGGAGTACGTTCACCTGCAGTCCAGGGCCTGACCCCACCCTCCTGCGCCCAAGTCCCGTGGATGACAGCGGCGTTACACCAGCGCCGCTGAGATCAGGATCGGGCCCCAAGTCTGCATCCAGTGCTGATGAATGCACAACCGCTCAGCCAGAGGACAGGCGCAGAGGGACAGCGCCCTGGATGCAATACACCCGAGACCTAGGGGGTTGGTAGCGAATGCATTGTGGGGACTGATTCTGATTTCCCCGACCCAGGACGAAATCCAGAGGGACCCTATTGGCTTCAGTGATGCTACCGTGTGAACAGAGCAGAGCTTATCGGGAAGTGCTCCAGGGACTGACTCGGAGACGGATGGGTGCAGAGAGGGGTCACATGTAAGGGCGGGGTAGTCCCAGTGCCAGCCCATCTGGAGCACCTCGGCCCAAGGTGCGGGAAGACGATTTCAAGGCTGGGCGGTGAAACGTAACAGGAGGGATGGAAGGGGTTAAACTCCTAGTCCTGAGAGCGCTGGAGTCTCAGGGGAAGTGATCGAAGCTTATAAATACCTCCAAGGGAGCCATTTCAAGGAAGGATGGAATTAGCCTGGGTAAGGAGCAGTGGCCCCAAGCGGAGGAAGGAACAGTTCGGTCTTTGCAGAGGGAATTCTTTATCGGGACAGTTGAACAGCGTGCAGCCATCCTCCCCCACAGCCTGGGGACGGGACCTCGGCCCTGCAGGGGCAGGGAACTCCGGGGGCGTGCCAGCTGCCGTTCCGCCTGGGGAGCGTCACAGCCCCCCACTCTGCACTGGGGGAAATGGTGACCCGGGGCACAGGGCGTACCAGGCGGTGTGTCCGTGTGCGCCGTGTCTCTAGATTGGGTCCGCGTCGCTGTGCACGGGAGCAGAAGTGGGTCTGTGTGTGTGTGTGTGTGTCTGTGCCTGTGTACATCTCGGCTTGCTCTGGGCGGCTGGCTCCCGCTGTGCGGTGACCGACTTTGTCCCACTGGCTGCAGCGCGTTGCCAACCACTCAGATTCCTTCCACAAAACGCAGAGGCGAGCGCCAAGAAAGAAGCCCCCAGCCCGGGCTGACAGCATCCTGCCTGGAGGGGCCAGGCTTTCCCCCAGGATCCTGGCACGAGGCGGGTGGATCCTCCTAGCGATTGCTCTGGGTAGAACCAGGGGGCAAAGTCTCAGGGTTGTGCTGAATTTCGATCTAATAGAAAGTCCTTATGTCAAAGGCTGGGGGGGAGGGCTGGGGGAAGAGCCGAGCTTGTGTATTGCCCTCCCTGGACGGGACCATCTGGGAGAGCAGCAGCTCCAACTTTGGTTCTTGGTTGCCTTGGACCTCCCCTTTGTATAACACGGTCCCTGACGGGCCCTGGCTCTGGGGCAGGGGGCTGGATGGCTCAGTGGGTTGAGAAGGGGCTGCAGCGCCCACCCCCCTAGGTTACCCGTTGGACACCAGCCCGGAGCAGCAGTAGCCAGCAGGAGCGACAGTCTCGTTCTCAGACAGGTCGGGTGGGTCCCGTTCCCAGGGAGCCGAGCGCCGGTGAGGGTGGCTGTAGTTGGCACTAATTGCCCCCCCCCTCGAGGGTTGAACTGGCCCGTGGAGACTGCACACGAGATCTTAGCCCCTGGCCCCCGTTTCTGACGACCTTGTGGGACGTCGACAAGAGGCAACCGATCCACGAGCAGCTGCTCTTGAGCCGGAGTATGTCAGAAGCCGGTCCCGTCCCCAGGAGACCCGTCCTCCCCAGCCCAGGCTTGGATCCTCTGGAGGTGTCTCAATAAAGCCCACTTTTGAGATGGGATGAGCCCGTCCCATCCAGTCTGCTGGGGGGACCCGCACTGGAGCGACGCTTGTGCTCGATATTTCCCAGCTGCTGTTCAGGGTTCCTCAGGAGAGCCGCTCTGCCGTCTCAGAGATCTCACGGTCTGGGATCTAGCCTGGTGATGCCCTTTCGCACCCTCTCCTTCCCCGGGGCACGGGTCACCAAACTCACCAATGGCATTTTAGGTGTGGAATTCCAAAGGAGATTAAGGGAGTCCGGTGCCTAACTCTCACTTCAGTGGGATTTGGGCGGCCGATTCCCATAGGTTCCTGTGAAAATCCCACGCTTTGTAAGCACCCGTCCCATTGAAACCCTCCCTCACTGAGTGACACCCGCTGTGCTAAGAGGCGTGACAAAGGATAGGCGCGTTCCCTCTGATAATCGCAGCCGCCACTGGCAAGGCACCAGTTCTTGGGATTTTATTGGGAGTCTCGCAAGATTTGTCGTTTTCCTTAAAGCCCCAGCTCCTGGAGTCAGGTGATGATGAGCTCTCAGCTTTTATTTCAATAAGAAAAGACCTTTCCTAACCCTCATGTTTGGAAAGAAAAGCTGGAACATGTCACCCCCCCCAAAAGGCTCTAAACCCAGAAAGGAAATAACAAGATCCCAGACTTCATTATTTTTTTTCAATCTCATGATTTTTTGAAGGCCTGTCTCCTGGCGTTTGAATGCTTGGGGGCTGGCAATGCTGCCCCTGAGATGACTGGGAACCTCACAGTAGCCTCAGGGTTATCAGTCCCATCCTCCTTCTCTGAAAGCATAGGCCTCTGCCACCTGAGCTAATGAAGAATCCTCACTGCAGTGTGGCATCTAAGACACACAGCGAGCAGTTCCCAGTTCTTTCCAGCAGAGAGCCTTGGTGTACCCACATTTGCAACGATGCTTCCCCCATGCAGCTGGTTCTTTGATTATAAAATGTCCCTAAGGGGTTCAGTGTTAGGTTTAAGAACAGAGCCACCCTTAAAACCAGAATTGCCTGGAGGCGTGGGCAATATTTAAGGTGGAGGTAAAGGGCATATACAGCAATTGACTTTTGTCTCTTACTATTTTTATGCAGGGAGGCGAGAACGCCTTAAAAAGTCCTGGGACTCTCAGGACAGCCCAGATGCTGAGAGGAAGAGGAGGTCATCTGAAGAAGTAAAGCAAGGAGCTTCCACCTCAAAGGAAGGAACTGAGGCAGGATGGGGTCTGTGCATGGAGGCTGGATCAGCCGGTAAGGAGGGACAGTCCCTGGGCTTCTTTGTAGGTTTAGATATGGTGGGGTAGGGAAGAGAAAGACCTGGAATCCGAAGCACGGGGACTTCAGTCAATCTGTGGAACTCACTGCTGCAGGAAGTAGCGCCAACCCCTGCTCAGTTTATTTATGTGGCTTGCTGTGTCCATAGGGCTCCAGCCATTTCATCCCTCACTTTACAGCTTTGCTCAAGCACACCCAGTGAGTCAAGGGCAGCGCCAGGAATAATCTATCTGAGCAACTCACAGTCTGCAATGCGTGTATCTCACAATCCCCCGGGAGGCAGGGCGGTGCTATTATCCCCATTGCACAGATGGGGAAACTGCGGCACAGAGCAGCTAAGGGACTCGCCCAGAGGTCACACAGAGAGGCTGTGTCAGAGCAGGGAGTTGAGCCCAGCCAACCCAAATCCCATGCTAGTGTCCTAATCACTGGACCATCCTTCCTCCTGTGCTCTCTGCCTCCCAGCCCGTGTCCTGTTCACTGGCCCATGCATGGAAGCCATGCGAGCTCAGGTAACATGGTTAATCAGATCTCAGGTTTCAGGGCAGCGAGTGACCACCTGCTGGGGTCAGGAGGGAATTCCCTCCTTCCTCACCTCCCCACGTTCCACGCCGCACAGTCAGCCAGGTGCAGTGTGGAATGTTTTTTATTTCCTTTGTCTGGAGCATCAGGTCTCGGCCATTGCCGGAGGCAGGGATGCCAGACGTGACGAGCCGACAGTCTGATCTGCCGGGGCAACTCCTCTCTTCTCCCTCGCCCAGCTCCTGCTTACTGGGTGTTACCAGGCGGCCGGGGTCAGAAAAGTGACAACTGATGGCCCCTTCTTATCCAGACATCGGCGTGCGCGTGTGTGCACACGTGGGGATGTGTGTGTACACACGTGTGTGTGTATGTGCACGTGTAGAATCAGAGCTCCTTTAGTGACACGGATGAGTACTTACCCTGCTAGCCCCCCGGAGCCATCTCAGCGGGTGTCTGTCTATTCCCATTAGCCCAGCCCAGCTTCAGGATCAGGCGGATTCAGTTCTGGCTCAGCCCCTCGGTTACGTGCGGGATGACGCGTAAACCACACAGAGCGTGGCGTGGTTCCTACGAGCCTGGGGGAAGGTGTGGGGCTGATGGGTAGAAAGCCCGTCCTTTTACTTGTCAGCTGAGCCAGCGAGACCGAGGGTCTGAGACATAACCAACGTGGGTCCGCCCGCTGTTGAGGCTGTTCCCCCACCCCCAAGGGCAGAAGGATGCTCGCAGCCGGCTGGGTTTGCAAGGCAGGGGTCCCAGCTGTTCACAGGGAATTTTAGAACATGGATTGGACACACAAGCCGGCCGGGTGCTAAATGCCTCTGGGAAGTGAGGATCCGTCCTGGCTCCGCGGAGCGTAACGTGAGGGCCATTAACAGACCAAAAACCAGGGTGAAGGGAAGAAGGTAAAGATCAGGGGACGATTAATAGGCTCATACGGCCACTTAGAAAGCGCTTGATCCAAAGCCCATTGAAATCACGGCAGCTCAGTCGGTCCCTGGGGCTCTGGATTGGCTCTAGGGCATGGACAGACGGTGGTGGCTCCCCTTTAAATCTCACTTCTCATAAGGTTTGCAGGGGGAGTGAGTTTTATGAGGGAATTGGAAGTGAGGCCAAGGCGGTGGCTTGGCAAACAGTTTTGGGGATAGTGTCCTATTATGTAGGGGCAGCCTAAAAGACTGGGTACGTGCCCCCGTCTCTCCCTCTGGGGGCTGGTGCAGCTAAAGGATAAAAGCCCACTACTGTTGCTAGCTAGTGGAGTTGCTGCTGTAGCGTAAGTCTGTGCCGCAGTTCCTAGGTTTGATTTTGCTGGTGACCTGTGGTGGCATCAGTTCTAGAACGGGATGGGGACGTGAAAGGAGACCGGCCCGCACCAATGTATTCGCATCGTTGCCGTGACAAGGACACAAAATGCACCGAAAAGGGACCATCAGCGACCAGCGCGGGGGTGAAGCGAATTCAGCTCACTTCTGCATCAGGGATGTGGGAGCTTCCCTGCCCCGAGCCCCTGGTGTCCAGCACAACGCACGTCCCCGCGAGATGAAATGGGCAGCCATGCCTCCGGCATTGCTCGGAGCAGAGGGGCCCATGGAGGGGCCGCGGATTAAGCTAGAGCCAAGAGACTGCGCCCACGGGGAGCTCCGACGCCCAGCATCCCACGCTCCGTGTCAGGCCGAGATTGAGCACCACACTGCATGCGGGGACCTGTTCGCTGGCGAGCTCCATGCTCAGCGCCTGCTCCTGTATGGCCTGATGCTGCCCCAAGCTGGGCTGGTCGGCTCCACAATGTCTCCTGGTGCTCAGATGGCAACCCAGATAGTGTCCGCTGGGACGTGGCCTTCCTTGCCCACATTCCTTCTCCGCTAGCTCCCTTCACGTTCCTGGTAAATGTCGTGAAACTTCCCCGGACAGCCTGGAGTGCCCAGCTCTAGCCAGGATGGCTAGCAGAACTGGGGCCAGATCCTCAGTAGATCTCTGCTGAATCTGAATCTGCACGGGTGTAAAAGACAGCACAGGCTGCCGGGCAGCGGAGAAGGAGACCCAGGGAGTGTCTGCGAGCCGACGTCCGTCTCTGAGCCTGACTCTGATCACACATAAATTGGGGTAAATCCAGAGTGACACCATTGTCAGTAGATCAGATTCTCAGCTGATGTATATTGGCTGCAGCTTCATAGACATCAGTGGAGCTGCACCAGTTTACACCAGCTATGGATCTGGCCCAATATGGATTTAAACTAGTGTAATAGAGAAGAGAATTAGGCCTCCTCTTTTTCCCGTCAGCATCCAGGCGGCAGAACAGAAGCCTGCAGGCTTCTGCGTCCAGCGTGCATTTAATTAGACAGCTGCAGAACACAAGTTGCAACAGTGTTTCCTCTTTCTCAGAGACCAGATTCTTCTAGCTAGTTGGATGAGTTCTGCTTAGACCCTGTGCTACCATCCTGAGCTGTTTAACCCAGGAGCAGCCGGATTGCAGGGTCGTGTGAGCAGCAGCGGAAGGGCTGGTGCCTGAGCGCGGAGTGGAGGTACACGGGAAATGTTCTGGCATTGACTTTCTAGTAGGAGTCCTGCTACGGGACCACGAGTCAGTGCGTCATGAAGGGAGGCATGTCGCGATCCGACATCATCAGCCATTTGGGACACGTGAACAGTTTCCGGGTCAGACTCTGAGAGGCAGAGATCTCGGCTCCACATTGAGGCTCGAACCAGGGTGGGCCCAGGGTGCTTCTCAGGCTGGGAGCAGATGAGACGCTGAAGAAGGTGCCCTCTCCAGGGGAGTTCAGGGCCAAGGGCCGTGGCTACTGAATTCCATCCCTGCCGAGGCGGTGGAGCGGCTCCTCGGAGCTCTCTCGAACAAGCCGACCTTTCAGACCACGGCTCGACACGCCTGCAGCTCCCCGTCCAAGCCGGGGGAAACAATAATAAACACAGAGCGCGAGAGAGTTCATCTGTGTCGACGGCGCTTGGAAAGACCAGCAACCTTCAGCCCTCTTAGCTTGCACCCGGCTTCCGGCTGGGATCTGGGCTTTGCCACCAATTCACTGCCAGAGACCATTGCACGAAGCTGAATGAGATCTAACAGGGGGGATAGAGGGGACGGTTCGGTTGGGATGAGAGCCCCAGGAAGTCAATCTGAGGCTCTGAATTTAAGACTTTAATCTGAATCAGAATTAGAATCTGAATCTACTCCGAATCCAAACTTTTAATCTGAACATGAATACATTCCCCAAGGGTGGAGGTGTATTCGCCAGCCCTGGCAATTTTAAAATCGGATGTTGTTCTAAAATCCATGCTCGAGTTCAAACTGGATTGAATTCAGGGCAATTCTCTGGCTTGTGTTGTATGGGAGGGCAGACGAAGGATCCCAGTGGTCCCGTCTGGCTTTAGAAGCTGGGATCCGGTAATCAAAAACACACATCTTCATTTTAATCTGAATGAATCACATTTGAATCCTGCATCTTAATTGGAATACATTTAAAATGAATCGTTACTGGAATCAGAACTTGGTTCTTAGTCTTAGTTCAAATACATCTCATGTTTGCAGGGCCAGCCCTTCATCTTCATTTGAATTTAATAATTTGAATCGGTGTTTTAATAAATTTGATCTGAATCTTAATCTGAACTGTAATTAGAATCGCAGGATATTTTAATATGAGTTTTAGAGCTAAAATGTCAAGAGTGCCTAAGTGATTTAGGAGCCTATTTTTACATTGGTATTTAAACTCCTAAATCAGTGAGGTTACATCTACACTGCAAAGAAAAACCTGTGGCACTGAATCTCAGAGCCTGGATCAATTGACTTGAGCAGGGCTAAAAATAGCAGTGTAGACACTCCCGTTTGGGCTGGAACCCGGGCTCTGAAGCCCAGTGAGAGGGGACGATCTCGGAGCCCAGGCAGGAGCATCTACACTGGTGTTTTTAGCCATGCAGTGTGAGCCCCACGAGCCTGAGTTACTTGACTTGGGCTCTGAGGTTTTCCTTTGCAGTGTAGACGTACCCTTAGGTGCTTTTGAAAACGTTGCCCTGAATCCATTTAATTGGCATCGGAATCACTCCTTGATCAGACTGATTTTAACCCAGCACCCTGAGCTCTGGATCCCACATTTGCTGGGCTCTCGCTGCGGATGCTTCCCCGAACAATTGAGCAACGCAACCGCCTCAGCTCCCTGGGCTGCCTTCAGGGCCACCGCGCTGCCGCCAGCTCTCGCCGGGGGAAAGACGGAGCCTTGAACTCGGCTTGGTGGGCGGATGTGCAACTCCTCCTGGAATGTCTGCGCTGGTTTCGTCCGCCATCAGAGACCTTGGATGGGGGGGTTGGATTCCCTTTGGGCAGAGCTTTTCCGGTCTCCTTTGGACGGCGACTTTTCCCCTAGTGCTGCCTGTGGCCACTGGCCATATTCCTCCAGTCTGAAAATATCCCGTGCCCTTGGCCTGTTGGCCTGGCGGAGCAGGGCTGGGCTGGGCTGGCTTTCCCAGGCTGCTGGCTGAAGGAATGCTGTGGAAGATGTACCCTCTCCAGCTGGTTAACCCCTGGGGCCTCGGCCGGCTCCCGTGGTCGGGGTGTGCGGAGGATCAGGGGTCTCGCCCCGCATTTCCCAGGCAGAGGCAGCTCCGGGCCAGACACCACGGGCAGGGCGCTGGGGCTGTGTCCAGCCCTCCCTTGGCTGCAGCAGGAGTCACAAGCCCCCGTCAGCATTCCTCCAGACGCTGGCCGAGAGCTCGGTGAGGGCCCCTGACGCGTGACGTGGCCTGGCCCAGCCCGGGTTTACTCTCCAGTCACCCACGTAGCTTGCCGCTCTTGACATCCCCTCGACGTGTTTGCTGCCTCCCCGGTGCCATTTGTGCCACCTGGGTGTGAAACCGCACGATCCTTTGCCCGCCGCCCCTTAAACCCAGCCTGCGTGCTGCGACCGCCCCGCTCGAGTCACCCCGGGCGCCGGATCCCCCCTCTGTTCCTGGCAGGGCTGGTGGATCCTCTGGCGAGTCCATAAAAGGGTCAGGAATTCCAGACCCCAAAGAGCAAATAATAGGCTGGGAGGGGCCCTAGCCCTAGATCTCCCATCGCCGCCCTGGTAGGTGACTGATCGCCGCCTCCCTGATGCTGCTTCTCCCAGGATTTCGCTGGGGATGGCCTCTCCACGGACCCCGGCCTAGCCCCCGGGGCAGACACCACTGGGTCGACGGAAGGATTCCTCCATTGACCCAGCTCCAGCCACTCGAAGAGGTGGGAGAAAACCTCTTCCCTCGCTGGTGAGATAGTCTAGACTACAGTGCTACAGCTGCGGTGCCGGAGCCATGCCGCTGTGGGGCGGATGTACCACTCATCCTGCTGTCCACGGGGCCTAGACACGGGCTGAGGGTGCTGTCAAGGAGCAGGGGTCTTGGAAGAACGGGCACTGATTTACCGTTCTATTGCCCGTATTCTCGTCTAGCTTCCCCCCACCCGTCTTTCGTCTAGTCACCATGATGATGCCTCGCCTGTATTTTATGTCCAGAGATCTCCAAGTGCTTTGCAAAGGAGGGTGATAACCTTAGTCCCATTTTAAAGAGGGGGGAAACTGAGTCACGGAGCGGGGCTGTGACTTGCCCAAGGTCACGTGGCAGTAGAGCTGGGAATAGAAGGCAGGTCTTCTGGCGTGCTAGCCATGAGGGCACGGTGCACTCCCGCTCTCTTGGGAGGAGCGGTTGGCTTTGTAACGTCCAGCCAGCCAGAGACAGGCACTGGGGCAGCTCCCCCCTCACTGCACTGGAGCTGCGGCCCCCTCCCGCAACCCCCGGGCGAAGATGTGCTGTCCAGACTGGCCCTCGCTCTGTTATGTTAACGCTGCAGCCGCCCCCGGCTGACTCAGGGTTCACGAGCAGTTCTGCTTCGCGTTTTCGTGCTGAAAGGAGTGAGGGGGCTCTTCCCGGAAGGGGGGGGGCTTTGAGCAGGGACGAGCGGGTCAGAAAGATGACGAGTTGCTATTTTGCTGTTTGGAGGAGAGAAAAAAAGAGAGAGAGAGAGAGAAGATGCTTGGCCAATTTATGTGAACTCATCGTCCGGGAGGAGAGTGGATGACTCAGGAGGTAGCAATGGAATATAACTAGGTCACTGGTTCAAATGGGAGCCCCCGTTCAGATAGTTCCAGGGTGCATGGGCAAGGGGAGGCCTTTGCTGGTCTTGGTTTGGGCCCCCCTCCAGATTATTCGTAGCTCTGTATGCTCCAGGGTGACTTTGGACGTGGTCATTAGGAAAGCAAACTTTGCCTTCCCCCCGCTTTGAATTATTCAGCAGTGATGCCCCCGGGAATTGGGATTACGGGACCTTTTCATCTCCAGGGTGCTGGTTCGTCTCTAGTGCTGGTCAAGGAGCGTGGTGGGATTGGGGTAGGGAGCTGCTCGCTACGCGGATGCCGGTTCAAACCCCGCCTCCCCCCTCCCCCAGGCGGCTTGGGAATGGGAGGTGGCTCGAGGCTCCGGGTTCAAATCCAGCCCAGGCTGTCAGCGACACAAAATTGTCGCCAAACTGTTACTGAGTTGGAGGTGCTTTTCTGAGTGCCGCTTCGAACGCTGGAGCCCTTGACAGGTTTGTTATCGTAGGGTTGCTCATGGGCATACCGGTTTGTTGTTTTCCGGTTGCTCCTGGGCGTTGGGGCTGCCTATACAGGCTTGTTGTTGGAGGGTAGCCGGTGAGTACAGGGGCAGCATGCGCAAGTTTATTATGGTAGGGTTGCTGGGGCAGGATGCTTTGCTTTTATAGTTTCCCAAACTCCAAGGCCAATAGGGACCGTTGTGATCCTCTAGTCTGCTTTGTTATTGTAGGGTTGCGGTTGAGTGCTGCAGCTGTGGGGGTTGCTTGGGAATGCTGGCGGAGTGGCCACAGCTTTGTTATTGTAGGGTTGCTGTTGAGCGTTGGAGCGTTGGCGCTGGTGGAGGAACAGGGGCTCCTAGCCACAAGGCAAGAAAGCATCGCTGTGATTGGTTTGGGTAAAATCTGTACAACAGATTACCCGGGCCAATAGCAGAGATGCAGGGGGGGGGCGGCCCGCCGGGGGGGGGGGGGGGGAGCGGGTAGACACCCCTGTGTTACCGTGAAGAGCAGATCTGGGCACCTCTCCTCCTCCTGGATTTGCGTGTGGAACAGCCACTGAACATTAGCAGCTGGGAGGTGTTGGGATAAAGGGGGGCTGCCCAGGAGAGCGAGGGGTTAACGGAGACCGAAGGGAGCAGGGCATTGGAGCAGCAGGGTGGGCACCTCCTCTTGCTAATGGCAGCGTCTCTGGTTTTCTCTCCAGGCTTTGCGTGCCTGGACTGGCCCTGGCTCTGGCCCTGCTGACGGCCCAGCTCTGCCAAGGCAGCAGGAAGGTGAGTCACCAGACCAAGGACCTTACAGCGGGGCAGGGGGGCGGGATGGGGGGGGGCGGCTTGGGACGCACAGAGCCCCTCCACGAGTGATCTCGCCAGCCCCAATGTGTATCGCCACCTCCTGGAGTCACAGGCCTCATCACCAGCTAAAGAGCATCAGGGAACCTGGCTGGGGCGTCCCTCTTGGGGTCTGCTGCTGGGCTAATGGGGGTAGACCCCGGCCCCCTCCCCCGGACCCGGGCGGCCCCGCCGGGCTAACGGGGATAGACCCCGGCCCCCTCCCCCGGAGCCGGGCTGGCCCCGCAGGGCTAACGGGGATAAACCCCGGGCCCCTCCCCCGGAGCCGGGCTGGCCCCGCAGGGCTAACGGGGATAGACCCCGGGCCCCTCCCCCGGAGCCGGGCTGGCCCCGCAGGGCTAACGGGGATAGACCCCGGCCCCCTCCCCCGGAGCCGGGCTGGTATGCTAGGCAGGGTTGGTGACCTCAAGACCTTTCTCCTGGAAAGCACTGGGGAGGTGCCCCTAGGGGGCGCTCTCCCTTCTGTGGGGGTGACGCCAAGCGTGCTGGCTGCACCTGGTCACTCACAATCTCCTGGTGCTTTCTGGGGTGTTGTACTGGCCAGTCCCAACTGGAGGTAGATGGTGTTCACCCTCCATAAACCTCCCTTGGGGCTGGGTATGTTGTACTCCAGCACTACGTTGCCTGGGGTGTTGCTGTGGGCTGTTAAACAGCTGCCATGTTCTGCCCCAGAGGTGGCTAAAAATCAGGCAAAGCAGGAGCAAGTTGGAATGGTGGGGCAGGGATAACCTCCTGGGGCCTGGTTTTCAATGACGCTGAGGCTCCTTTATCCTATTCAGGCAGGAAACATTCCCCTGAGAAAGCCCTCATCCCGGGGCCTCCCCTGGCTTAAGCATCCGGCGCTCGCCCTGCTCCCAGCCCCCCACATAGGGGGTGGATCTGGGACTTTGCTCGAGCACATTGTGCTCTGGCTAGTCTCTGCTTCCCCCGGCCCATACGAGGCTGTGAGAAGCAAAGCATGAGTTAGAGCAACCTCAGGGCTGCTCTAAATTACACCGAGGGCCAGGCAAGGCCCTGTGTGCAGGGATCACAAGTGTAGTGGAAAGTCACAATGTTGCCAGAGCAGCTGGGGGGCGGGGGGGCCTCCGGGGTCAGGACTCCTGGGTTCTATTCCCAGCTGGGAGTTGGGGGAGATGGGGTCTAGTGGTCAGAGTAGGAGGGGTGTTGGGAGTCCGGACACCTGGGTTCCATTCCTGATGCTGGAAGGGGAGTATAGTCTAAGGGTCTGAGTCCCTCCCCCCACCCCCCGATCCCATCCCTGGAGGAACAAGTAAAGATCAGGCCCTGGGTTAACCAGTAGCAGAGGAAGGTACAGAAACAAGTGGGAGAAAGAGGCTTAAACTTCGCGCCAGATTCTGCCCTGGGATTTGCATACGCCATGGGCACCGAACAGGGACAGGAGCGCACCAAGTGAGCGAGATGGGCAGGTTCTCCAGGCAAAAGGCCTCTTCCTTTCACCAGATTCTCCCCCTGGGGGGCTCTGCGGGCAGCCTGCATGTCAGGGCTGCCTGTGGGCTGGGGGAGAGGCCGGGGCAGGGGCGACGTGTGTGAAAACACAGCGTCACATCACGGGCAAAGTCCATGAGAAGCGGGATGCCGGGGGGGAGGGGAGCTTCCGAACCACCGTCATCGAGGAAATTCCCAAAGAGCCGAGCCAGCGCAGAGTGTCCTCCCTGCGGCCTTGGTATGTTGCAGCGAGCGCTGGCGGGGGCAGGAGCAGCATCGTGTCCGTGTTAGGAGTTTACAGCCCGTGAAATCAGCAGCAGTCTGGGCTGAGGGGGAAGCCGAGCGCTCTGCGGGGTGGGGTGGTTCTGTGTGTTTATCCGGGGCAGCGTTGGTAACCCGGCCGTGTGTTGCAAAACGGAGCTTTCCCTGGCTCCGCCGAGCAGTCCCCGTCCCCCCCAGCCCTTCCTGCGCCAGCATCCTTAGGAACCAGAGGCCCCCGAGCAAAAGCCAAGTCGTGAGCTGACGTTCGCCCTTTGCCCTGCGCGTTGTGCAGTCGGTGAGCGCCACACGCAGCCGTTGTGATCTGCTGGCGTTCTTCGCCCGCTTGGGCACACGGCTGCACGAGGCGCCAGCAGTCGGAGGATCAGGCCCTCGGCTGGGGGAGTTTGGGATTTGGAGCGGCGGGCCCTGCTGCTAGGGGTGTGCGGCCGAGGCTTGGGGACAGTGGAGCAGGGGCTCTGGGCGTCACTCAACAGCTGGCTGTCATCCTGCCTGTAAGCACCCCGATGCAGCCATCTCCTTCACACATGGTCCCAGCGTTCAGCTGTTACTGCCTCAGGGCAGGCCGGGGGTGAGCGCCCTGGAGGCGAAAGGCTCCCTATCTTGCTCCCAAGCCCCGAAGTCAGCCAAGTCCTCGCATGCAGAAGCAACCCAGAGAAGAGCTGCTTAATAATCCGATAAAACGAGCCCTAGCTCGTCTCACCAGCAGATCTCAAAGCGCTTTGCAAAAGGGGCCGGGATGATTCCCCACTTTTTACAGTGGGGGAAACCGAGGCACGGCCCGGGGCCGTGACTTGCCCCAGGTCACCCCGCAAGCAGTGCTTGGCCTAGAACCTGCGTGCCAGGCCAGCGCTCTGCCTACTAGGCCACAGGATTACGGTAGCACCGAAAGGCCCCGACTGGGCACTGCAGAGTGCGAGACAGTCCCTGCCCTCTTGCTCACAGCCAAAGGGGAAACTAAGGCACGACAGCCAGCCACAGTCACCCAGCAGGTCAGTGACAGAGGTGGGACTGGAGCGCTGTAAGCAGCTGCCCAGTGTCCTTGTGTGAAGGGGCAGCGGGGCTGTATTGGCAGCTACGCTTCCGAGTGCTGGAAAGGCTCTGAGGCAACGTGGGCCAGAGCCCCAGCGGGCGTAAACTGGCTTCGCTCCAGATCGACGCCAGCAGCAGACTTGGCCCTCAGCTCTCAGCCTGGCTGTGTCATTCCTTGAGGTGCCGTTGTTCTTGGGGAGGAAGGAGAGGGGGCCCCAAACCTTTCGAAATCTCTTTCCCTCCGCCCACCTCCACTGCTTCTCCGGCCCGGGAGGGGGCAGATGAAAGTGCCGGGCGCAGGGCGGCCGGGTCCCCGGTGTGGAACTCCCGGCCTGGGTGCTGGCGCTTTCCAGCGTCCCTGGAAATGAAAAGAAAAACGTGGGAAATTTCTGATGCGGACACGGGGGCCTGGAAGGGCTCGTGGGAGGAGGTTGTGTGGCGGGGGCTCTAGGTTACTGGTTTGAATGCAGCCTGGGGCATTACAGGGGGACAGTCATTACGCCCATCTGGAGCTGTTTGCCTGCATGGAATGAGTTGCTAGTTCTCAGCCTAGGACCAGTGTTGCCGAGTAGTAGAGTAGGACTCAGGAGACCCAGGTTCTACCCCTGACCTCCCCTTGCTCTGCCTCAGTTTCCCCATCTGTCAAACGGTGATAAGATCCTGACCTGCTTTGCACTGTGCTTTGAGATCCCTGGCGCTGGGTAGAGCGCTTTTCGTCAGGAGGTCACTGATGCTTCCCCTGGAGATGCTGAGCCTTAGAGGAATCTCCTTCCATCCTTTCGATGAATGAGCTATAAAAAAAAATATATAGCCCCCCCCAGTGAAGCTAGGGGGCTGCAGCTTGATCCGAGCCACTAGAGCAGAGGTCCCCAAACTGTGGGGTGCAGGAGGAACGTTTGAGGGGGGCAGCGGCAGTGCTCCGCTTTGCACCGAGTGGGTTTAACAGCCCGCCCCACGGTACCTGTGCCCTCGTTAAAATCCAGCCAAGCACTATCTGTCTCCAAGGCACTCCTGAACCAGGCCAAATATTTTGGCAATCGGTGAGCACGTTCGTTTTCTTAATTTCCTTTTTTGGCTAACGATGAGCCCTCCAGGCCAGGGGCCTTTGGGATGTTGTAGCGAGGAGGCGAGAACAGCTGGGCAGCGATAAACTCCCCAGCCTGTTCCCCACAGCTGGGCCCGCCCCGCCTGGCGTGGGATCGTCCCTCTGTCTGAGGCACCCGGGAGAGGCCAGGCCAGGCAGAGCCAGCTGAGGTGGGGGGTACGGGGAAGGGCCCTGCGTTAAGCAGCAGGGACACAAAAGGAAATGCTTCCTGGGCAGGTCTGTGCCCCTCAACCCAGGCCACTTCCCTTCAGTCCCGTCTTTTGGCTTCTCTTCCCCCTGCTCCAGTCTCTACCCAGGTACCAACCCTCCTGCTGCCGGATCCAGGAGGCTCTACCTGCCCAGATCTTTCCGTCTGTCCCAGCCCCAGAGACCTGGGCCAAAGCTGCCCCTTGGGCACCCAATGCCACCCCTGAGCCCTGGCTGCTGGGTCAGGCGTTAAGCTGTGTCGAGGGGGTGAGGCCCCTGGTCAGATGCTCACGGGGTGGAGGTGGGGGGCTGAGCCCACGCCAGTGGAGTGGATGTCCCCTGCTGTTAAGGGCCATGGCCAACTGGAGGATGTGAGACCCCAGCTGGTGCGGCAGCGTCACCTCGGCCTGGAGCTGGGGACAGGCCCCTCCTGAGGAGCCCCCCAGTGACCAGGCCGTCTCCTTGTGCCCTTGCAGGTCCCTCAGCGGACGTCCCGGCAGGTGCCTGAGGAGGACGGAGCTGGAAACCAAGTGGCGGGTGCCTGGAGCAGCTGGGGTCCGTGGTCATCCTGCTCCCAGCCCTGTGGGGTGGGGGTCTTGGAAAGGGTCCGCACCTGCCTGCCCCCCTATCAGCGAGCCCCCTGGGGGGGCCCTCATGGCCCACACACATACGCCCAGCCCCTGTACCCACAGGAACGAGCCAATCCTTACCCGCCCCGGTCGTCCTACCCCCTTCACACTGACGGGGAATCGGGGGCGCCTCTCTCCCCACCGGGGCCTGCCTTCCCCCTCCACAGCGACTCTGCCCTCCCCCTCCACAGCGGCCCCAGCCACACCCGGGCAGCCCCCCCTCCCGCCCGCTACGGGCCCCCGAACAGGTACATCCGCCACGAGTCCTTCCCCTCCGAGCAGCTGCCTTTGTCCCCGCTGCGGGATGCCTCCTCCACGCACTCCAGCCGCGGGAGGGACCCAGCCCTCGCCCCCAGAGCCCCAAGGCGGGAAGAGGACCCGTCCGGCAAAGCAGGCGCCTCCAGCCGCGGCCTGGCCCACTCTTCGCGTCGGCTGCGCCACCCGGACGCTCCCGCCACCTCCAGCCCGGAAAGGCCCTTCAGACGCCGCAGCTCGGCCCCGGCGCGGCTGCCCGCCCAGGACTCACTCCCGCTCTTCAAACCCGAGCGGCGGGGCAGCCACGAGGCGGGCGGCGCAGCCGGCAGCTCCCGACACGCTGCCCTCGGGTCCAAGTGGGCAGCGTCCCCGACGCAGGAGTCCCGCGCTGCCAGGAGGTGAGAGCCAGGGTCCCCTGTGGCACAGCCTGGGCTCGCGACCTGGGCGGGGGAGAGGGAACCGGCTGGCTCGGGGCGTTGGGTAGGTGCCATTTGTCCTCCAGTCAGTGACTGGTGTGCGGGGATCCCGGCACTGTTCCTACTGCCCTGGTCTCTGCTCTGAAGGCCCCCTCCCAGCTGGCAAGCTCGGATCCTAACTTCCATAGGCGCCAAAATACCTTGGAACTGGGCATGGAGACCAAACCACCCGTGTCTGCACGGTGGGGTGCGGGCCCCGTCACTGTCCTTGTCCACTCAGGGCCGCCCGTCCGGCAACGGCCCCCAGGGCTAAATCCACTCAGAAACTGAAAAAGAGTCAGCTGATCCTCACGCGCTGCCTGGGCCTCATCACCAGGCTGTTGGGGCACCTCGAATGCACTTCACCTCCCAGCCCCTCCACGAGGCAGGGCTGTTAGCGCCATTGGGCGGATGGGGAAACTGAGGCACAGATGGACTAAGGGACTGGCCCAAGGTCACACAGGGGGTTAGAGGCAGAAGTTGGAACTGAACCTGGATCGGCTTAGTCCCAGGCCTTAGCTCTAACCACTGCACCCTCCTTCCTCCCGGGGGCTCTGTGCAGGGCCAAGCCTGCTCTCTCGGCGCCTACTAGCTAGGAAGCAGTGTTGTGCGTCACCTGGAATACCCCACGGCACCTGGAATGCCCCATGGCAACAGCAGGGAGAGAGCGCAGATCCTCCCAGTCCAGAAGCCTAGCCCCACCCCTGCTAAACTATGGGAGAATCCCCTTGAGCTGTGTGCAGTACAGAGCTCATGACACAAGGCGTGCCATTCTGAAGCCACCCAGTAGGCGCACTCAGGTCCCTGGCTCCCCCTTTGCTCTGTTTACGCAGGGCCTGTAACAACACGTTCCCCCCTCGTTGCAGGTCTCGAATTCGAGAGTCGATCAAACCGGGGAAATATGGCTACGGGAAGGTGCCCTTCGCGCTGCCGCTGCACAAGGAGGTGGCGGAGGGGGGCACGCCACGGTTCAAGAGACACCCAGGGCCCCCGAGCGACCAGCCACCGCCGCCCACCAAGACTCCCAAGCGCAAGGCCAAGGAAGCCCCCAGCCGGGAGAAGGAGCCGCCGGCCAAGGGCGAGCACCATCCGCACCACAAGCAGAGGAAGGCCGTGCCGGCGGAGGACTCCGCGCAGCCCCAGCTCCAGGCTGGAGCGCTGGCAGAGAACAGCTCAGAGCCGGCAGGGCCTAGGGCGAGGCCCAGAAGTGAGGGAGATGGGCCCGCTCCACACCGCCAGCCCCACACGGCCGAGCAGGGCAGCGCTGGGCCACTGAAGGCCGAGGCCACAGCCAAGTCCCACACAGGCCCCTCGGAGGACGAGGCGAGTCCTGGAGAGAATCGGGAGCCAGCAGCAGCACCCCCAGAGCTGCAAGGGGCCCGGCATCGCACCGCGGAGGGCACTCCCCAGCTGGGCCCCTCTCCCACGGAGCAGCCGTCCCTGTTTGTTGGCTGGGCTCCGGTGGCCACCGTAGGGCCCGGCGGGGGAGAGCCAACGGCTGTGGAGAAGACGGGTTCGCAGGAGTCACGCCCGAGGGCGGGTGCGCAGGCGCCCGCCAAGCGAGGAGGAGGAGACGGGCCCGGGGACGGCACAAGGGGCATCCAACAGCCTTCCCACCCTGGGACGCCCACGGGAGAGAGGGCCCCGAGCAGCGGCCGCGCCCCTCGGCCACGGGGGGAGCTGCGCCTCACGCACGAGGTGCTGAAGAACCACAGCTCCACCGTGGAGGCGCAGCTGGCGCCCAAGGGACACGGGGCAGGGGGTGGCCACAAGGAGGCGCCAGAACTCGGCCACCCCCAACCCCACTCCCACCATCGGGCCACAGGAGCACCAAAGCCCGGGCCTGAGGCCACCCACCTGGCCCAGCCAGAGGGAGCAGGCCCTGCCGACCCCCCCGCACGCTCCCATCCCCACCAGTTGGCCCGGCCCCGTGCTCAGAGACAGAACGAGTACCGCCCGGGCAGCTACGGCACCCGGGCCTCCCAGAGCATCTTCGTGGAACAGCCCTCGCCTCACCGGCTGGCAGAACCGGACATCTGGCTGCTCCACCGCGGGAACCCCGTCCAGTTCCAGGCCAGGGGGCAAAGGCCCAGGCTGGGCCTGCACCCAGGCCCCGAGGTGCCCCAGTGGAATCTCTACCACCCCGGCACAGAGACCTTCCACTGCGAGGGGGAGAGCAAGCAGTTCAAAGCCTGCAGGCAGGAGGTAAGGGCCTCCGCTTTCCCTACAGGAGCGCCGGATGCCTCCCCCTGGTGGGACTAGAACTTAGAGCCCCATGCTTCAAACCCCCAACAGGAGACTCTCCATTCTCCACTAGCAGTATAGGGCATAAGACACACAGGCGATCAGCTCTGCTTTCCTCCAGGAGAGGGCACTGCTGGGTACACACCCCCACCCACTTTATTACAGTATTAGCCACCCCATCTTACAGGCGAGAGGGGAAGTGACTTGCCCAAGGTCACCCAGCCCATCGGGAAAAGAACCCAGGAATCCTGACTCCGTCCTCCTCCACTTTAGCCAGCAGGACCAAACTATCTTGTGGGGCCTGCGCCCATTTAGCAGTAAAAGGATTCGAGTCCATCTAGGGAAGTGGCCGCTGGCGGGGCTGAGAGCGTCTGAGCTGGAAAGGCAGACGACAAGCGATTCGGTTGCTAATGGGGTTTTTCCTGCCAATTTGTCCTTTTTTCTTTGGTTTAATAAACAGTGAAAAAATACACAAATGTCAGGCCCAGCCGGTTCCAGGCGAGCCCCGCTGCCGTGCTCCGAAAGTGCAGGGCTTATAAATCACCCGTCCCGCTCGTTTATACAATGCCGGCCAAACCTCCCCCATTGGCTGGCGGGAACTCGCTCCTGTAAATAGCCATGCAGGGCTGGAGGGGCCCAGAGCATGCTGGGAGAGTTACAGGGGCTGTTGGGAAGAAGTTATTTAGGGGCCCCATTGTCTGGTGACTTGAGGTCATGCAGTTAAGGGGAGGGAGCCAGGACGTCTGGGTTTGCTCTGTGAGGGGAGCGCGTTCCAGTGGTTAGAGCAGGGAAGGGGGCTGAGCAGGGAGTGTGGATGGATGGTTAGAGCAGGTGACTGGGCGGCAGGAGTCCGGGGTTCTGTTTCACTGGTTCTCTCTGTGGCCCCGGGCTAGTCGTGTCCCTTCTCTTTGCCTCAGTTTCCCCCCGTATAACGGGACAGCCCTCTCCTGCCTCACCAAGTGCAATTCCAGGAACATTTTCCAAACACCTGGAGATCTTCACAGGGAAGGTGCCCGAGGAAGGCAAGCTCCCAGTGAGATGGCTCCCCCTTTCTGAAAAAGAAAGTGCATTCACAGCCCATAGCATCTTTCCCCCCAGCTGGGGCCGCGAGGGCTTTGCTGACTCAAGGGATTGATCCCTTCCATTGAAAGATTGTGGGGTGGGGGGTGGCTAAGCAGTAAGGGGGAAAGGGGATGGGCAGAGAGTGGAAGGAATGGGGTAGGAGAAGAGGGGAGGACGGATGCCGGGGAGGAGAAAGAAAGGATGATGAGCATTGCATGAGCAATTCCTGATGAACAGCTGCCATGGCCCACCGCAGAGGTGGCTGCATTTTGGCACTGGGTAAGCAACCTCTGTTACAGCGTTGCTACATGGCTCTTAACCAGGTGCTGCCCTCCCACCCCCACCGCATTTCAGCAGTGCACAAGTGATCTCTGTGCAGCATTGCTGTGTGGCGGGTAAAGACCTGCCATGCCCCACCCCAGAGGCAGCTGCATTTCAGATCCCAGGGTATTTGTATCTCACGCTGGTGATGGGCACTGATATAACAACACATGCCCCCACGATGGGAAGCAGTGTGGAGACCTGCTTGGCGTCTCCTAGCGCCATATTCAGCTGCATCTCAGCCTCCTTTCCCTTCCAGCCGTGCCCAGCCGACCAGCCCGACGCCCGAGCCGTGCAGTGCGCTGCCTTCAACACCCAGGAGTTCATGGGCCGCCTCTACCAGTGGGAGCCCTTCACGGACGGTAAGGGACTGGGAGCTGGTACTGGGATTCGGTGTTCCTATGGTTACAGGGGAGGGGGGAGCCCAGTGGACTCTCATTGCTCTGCCATGGCTTGGCATTCCCAGGAGGTGCCTGCGTCTTTGGTGGGCTGGCCCACACCCTCCGTGTGTTGATTGCTCGGGCTGCAGAGTTGCAGGGTGACAAGTCCTTGCTCGCCGATGGCTATCCCCCTGAGACCGTAGCCTGCAGCTGGGGCCTCTCAGCTCCCTCCCCCCAGGGCTGACAGTGGCACTGCAGAAGGACCCTGTGCTCAGGGTTTTATCTCGGGGGCTGTTGGCTGCGGCCCCTCTCGCTCTCTGGGTCCTTTCCCCTTCCCTTCCTCCCGTGCGGGCGCAGGCACTGCTCCCACCCCCCTTCGTTCCTGGTGGCCGGGTTTGGTCTCTGCACCTGGAGGACACGTTCCCTGCAGCCAAGGGGCTGTCGGGCCTGTGTACTCACACGGTGACGGATGGGCCCCAGCTGGGCCAGAGCGTGTCTGTCCTGTCTGCTCCAGGGTGACCCACGCCGACGGCGTGTCCGCGTCTCCCAGCCAAGGGAGTGGGTCAGGGAGCTGTCTGGTGGCGCTTGGCTGAGCCCAGCAAACTCGTTTCACTGGTGATGGAAGCACGCTGCCCCGCTCCCCTGGCCGAGCAGGGTGTGTGCGGGGTCTCCTTGTGGAGCCTTTCCCACCGTCTGGGTTGCTCTCTGATGAGCCGGTTAGTTCTCAGCAGGGC